ATGTCAACGCTGACAGAAAATGCTGCCATTTTCAACTTCGCATTTACAACGATTGTCAATACAATAACAGCCGTGCAAGATGCATTACATTCATACTTACATACATAAATATGTATGCAAATGTAATGGGGTATTGAAGAAAACATATGTATGTACATTCATGTGTGCGCGTGTATTTTATTTGCATATCTAATGTATGGAAAATATTTATAATCTGCTATCGATACTTACTGGGGTTAGCTCTGGCATTGCAAATGACACGTCCGGGTATCGTCCCTTCCTGCACATAAACCCTGTCATCGGAAACGGTTGAGTTCTCCGGCGCATCTTTTCGTCAAGAAATCGAGGAGGAAATAAAAAAGAAGTTTTAGTTGTTGATAAAACCGTAAATACATGTATTTCTGAGATGTTTTTGTATATGCTACATTTACTGTTATGCTGTCTATTTATAAAGCGCTATGTTAAAGGGTGAGTGATTGGGAGTAGTTTACAGCTTGTCACATATCATTATTGTAACTTACATTCAATTGAGAAGTATGTAGAACTCTTGATGCCAGGTCCAACGGTATTTCCTGTCGAAACGCATGTGTAGTTGGCGCTATCCGCTTCAATATCGAACTTATGATTGGGCCAATTTGACATATTAAAGTGCTACGAAAAGTGAAATGAAAAACGATAAAATGAAATTTATTAATAATGCTAATAACAGGAAGAAATTAAATTTAAATTCGCCAATGCACGTAAGGGTGTCTCGGAAATGTTTCTTGCGAAATTTTTTATAAACGTATATTTTCTTTTCTTTTTACGTAAAAACCATATATATAAAGCTTTTAAAGGGACATTTTCTATTTTGTANTGATGCCAGGTCCAACGGTATTTCCTGTCGAAACGCATGTGTAGTTGGCGCTATCCGCTTCAATATCGAACTTATGATTGGGCCAATTTGACATATTAAAGTGCTACGAAAAGTGAAATGAAAAACGATAAAATGAAATTTATTAATAATGCTAATAACAGGAAGAAATTAAATTTAAATTCGCCAATGCACGTAAGGGTGTCTCGGAAATGTTTCTTGCGAAATTTTTTATAAACGTATATTTTCTTTTCTTTTTACGTAAAAACCATATATATAAAGCTTTTAAAGGGACATTTTCTATTTTGTAATTTTAGTTACCTAAACAAACCATGGTGTTCTTGGACCAAATTCAACTTAGTCAGTTTGGAACGATAGGATTTCCAATTATACTAATTTAGGGGAGGGGGACGTTACCAAGTCAGAATTTTTGTCAGTTTTAATCGTAGTGAGTGCCGATTTCAAAAACTGTCACTTGTTTGATTTTCATCCGAAATTTGCGCATTTATAGTATAAATAAGACTATATATGAATAATTTTTCACAAATGTATATACTTGTACATGTATACCCTGCAAGAAATTCCGTAGTCGTCTACTACAATAGCTAACTTTTGGTCCACTTATAATGGCTAATATTTATCTAGTTTCAAAGTCATGCAGTGCTCAATAGAAAATATTTGTGTAATATTTTTTACAAAGAAAAAATTAATAAAAAATTTTATTTTTTTATTTGTCATTATGCTTCTTTATTGCAAGCAAAAACACGAACGTTGAGAAAAGCCGTTAATCAGGCATGTTCTGCAAATTGTACGATTTCAAATCGGTGCGATTTGCAAAGTATTGTTGTATATTTGTAATCAAATTGTTAAATATTTGAAATGGAAAGTGATTTTGTGTGCNCCGTTAATCAGGCATGTTCTGCAAATTGTACGATTTCAAATCGGTGCGATATGCAAAGAATTGTTGTATATTTGTAATCAAATTGTTAAATATTTGAAATGGAAAGTGATACTCAGAAGTATATCATTTACGTTATATCTACATACAGTATCGGTCATATCTATAGCACGCCATTTCGAAGTGATATTGTGTGAAACTTATGTTTATCTGTTTATTTTTGACAATTTTCAATTAAAATACAGTTCTTTCTCTAACAAACCCCATATAAACCAAAGTTTAACAATTTGTAGAAAACTTCAAAAAAGTGCAACAAATTT